AGGAGACCTCACAATGTGAACAGGGATGAATAAAAAGAGGCTGCATCTCAGGGGAGAAATCAGAGAAGACAGAGAGTCATAAAACTGAAGATGCATGGCCGCTGTAAAGCATAAGAAGGATTTTCTACATTGAAATCCACTGCAGGGCATTATTACACGGTACATGTGGCTGATACAGCAACCACATCCACATGGAGCAGCCACCTTGGCCGCCTGAGTATCATTTATCTTATACGGTTTACGGCACCATGGACAATTTACATCAGAGTTTGCTATGGGCAGAGCTCCTCAGCTTCTGTGGTGCCTCATATCTCGCTCCTTTCCTTTTCAAACATCTGGAAGGAGTTGTATTCGAAAAGTTAAGCTCTTCAAAGCCTCTCACATCAACAAAGCGTGTTTTGCATAAGGGAGTTTATTTTGAATGTACCTGTCTCGGGATAAAAGCTACTTTCTGACAAGTAAAGAAAGTATGCCTGCATGACACCTGACACTCTGACTTTTTTAATCCTGCACAATGGCTCACTGCAGGAATAGGTCAACCAGCAGATGCCTGCTCAGCGAGGTCCCTCTGAACTCACCGCCCTGAGGTCTGCAGACTTCTACACAGTTTTTAAAGGTGTTGATTTCTTACTGAAGAATCCCACCAAACACAAACACCGCACTCTGTGTGAAACTGGAACTTCAAAAGAGACTGTAGCTGGCCGCTTTTGAGGAAAATCAGCATTCCTCCAAATCTCCTGAAACTAATCATAACTTTGCTTTGTTTTATGATCAGATTAGTTAATAATCCTGCTTATTTTCTGATACAGAGAGGGGAGGTTGCTTTAGGGGCAGATGGTAGTTGATACAGCACGTTTTGAAAGTTACTTCAAGTTCATCTGAACTCTATACTGTAGGAGCGTTCATTGACATTGCTTAGAATAAAACAGAGCAGTGAGTGGGAGGAATCTCCAGATTGTGTGAAACCAGGAAATCTACAGCAGTTCAAAGCAAGTGACAGTAGTATGAAAACAGTGTCCTGGGGGGCTTAGGTTTGGAGAAAAGAAACAAATCAATCCTGTTGTCTGATATGAAGTAGGAATAGAACACTACATGCTCAGAGCCACAAAGTCAGTCAATGTTCCTCTACTAGAGGTAAAGAGAGGAAATGTCAAAGGAACAAAGAAGCAACATGGCTCTACTTCCCAAATCATCTGTTTGTTTCATCTCACTATATTAAACACACACAAACACACTCACACAAGATCTGTCATTCAACACATTTCTAGCAACGTGCTTCTTAGCAACCCCAACACACTAATCTGCCGCTGATTTACTCTTTTTGTGGGAAGGCTTGCAATCCAATCTAATTTTTCCCGTGCTTGAGATGCCCTGTTTGCAGCTTAGCGTGTGTGATTGAATAGGGTCCTATGTGATCAATAGAGCTCATTAAATGTCCCTGTGGGCAGTTGTCTCACCCTAAGGCTCTCTTAAATTGCTTTTACATACAGACTGCTCTGCCCTATTACTTCAAGTGGCTCCAACTTTGTTTGGGGCATAATTAATTTTCTAATTGAATTACTCAAGCCTGGCCTTTGCATGCTTTTTCCCTAAATGTAGATTGAAGTATCCACTTGGTTCCCTTCAGCGTTGGCTGTGGGTGTTTTGGGACTTGTTTGGGATGGGCGGGTTTTAGACTGCCTTGCAAAGGGAGGCTGAGGAAACAGTGGCTGCACCTGTTGTTCCCTGCGGTTGCTGTGTGGTGGGGTTAGCACCTGCTCGTACGGCTGCTGTGTGGCTGTCTGTGTGGGCAGCGGGGATAACAGGGAGACCATTCACACCCGCTCAGACTGCTGTCTGCAGCCCCTCTCCCTAAACACTCATTCGCTCTGAGCTTTCTGCTCCATCATTTCTTTTTCTGTCTCTTACATCCTCAGCCTATCCCCTGTAGCCTATATGCCAGATTGCTATTACCACACTTTATCTTTTGTATCCCCAATCTTTCTGTCTGTGTTTCTGTCTATACCCTCTCCTCCTCCCCAATCCTACAATTGTTTTGGACTCAAACCATCTCTTCTTGCCTATCAACTAGCACAAAAACACAAACATAAACAGCTGCAGCTGGGAGCCGTTATAGTCCTTCTGTGGAGCTCGATAGCTTTTAGTGTGAAGGATGAAGTTGTTAACAATAAATTAGATACAGGCCTAAATCACTTCAGTAAGAGCTGGGATGGCAGTGAGTGAGCATTTAACTTGGGCCGTGCAGGTTGTGAGTTTGCAGTGTGTTTATGAGCAATTTAGGAGACAAGTTATAGGTGCAAGACATGTTTTGGACGAAGGATATATAGCCATATTTTAGAGTTTTCTCCCATTTCTTTGTCTGTGGAATTAAGTAAGACTCTGAGAAACAGCTATTTTGGCCATATGTCTAAATCATCTTCCATAAATAAAGTGTGCTCAGTGTATCCATCACACTGTTTCAGCTGGGAGTTAGTATTGACAAAATCAATTGACTTTCTTGCTTCCAAATCATCACACGTGACCTTTACTCCTATTAGCAAGAAACATTAAGCAAACATTTAATGAAGAATCATGAGTATACACAAAGGAACAACACAATTAAAAAGAGCCATAAGCCTCATTTAGATCACGACCTATGATCCGGGTCGTGATCCAAATGAGAATTTCAATCAGGCTTTGTGCTCATCGTTGTGATGCAGTGTTTTAATGTGCAAGTATTGTGGGCTGTTTTTGCTGAGACATCACTTCAAATATATTCGTAACGAGATAAACACTAAAATATACTATGCAACACGTGAAAGAACAATGATATGCAAAAAAGATATGCACAAAATAAAAACATCCAACTCGCAGCAGACACAAAGAGCAGTTCATGTCCACAAAGGTCCAACACAAATCTATTGGCGAACCGGAGGAGTAATAATGCAGCATCGCGTTCGGTGGCAGTTAAAAAATTGCGCACATGCTGTAGCCTATATACCTGTTCATCCCATCCACCCCCCGTTCCCCTCACATAAACATCTCTCAATCCCAACATTTGGCACACTCACCGCACCAGATGGCAGGTAGGGAGGCGGAGGCAGGTGCCAGTCGCCAACTCGCCCTCTCCGGTCGCTCTTATTCTTCTCTGTGGAGAAAAGGGTGATGGAAACCACGGCTCTCGGTATCCAAAGCCTCTCTGAAATAACAGCAGCTCCTCAGCCGCACCTCACCTGTCTCTTCCCTACGGATCCTGCGCGCCGCCGTAGCATCACCGTTTACCGAGCGCGTCCAAAACGCCCATTCAACTACAAAACGTTTTTCTTTCCCTGGAGAGATAGAGTCCGTAGTCTAAACGCGTTAGGAGTAACCTATGTGGCTTTCTGTGATCGTCAATACGTTTTTTCTCCCGGTAGGCTTGTGCAGACTGTGAAATCCCAGATCCTGCAATTGCGGTCTGTATTAAGTCTTCTTTCAGGAGCACCGGCCGCTTGTCTGCACTTGGCCAGGCTACGGCTTTGAAATCAGTAGTCAGCTAAATGTAATCCCCTCTTTAAATTTACAGTGGCGAGGTGAAATGTCCAACGCAGAGCAGTCACAGTGACAGCAGGGGCCCATAATTCACACCCCCTGAAACACAGTCCTGCAGTGGATCAATGATGAATGGTGAACCTCTCTCTCCCACTCTCTCTCTTTCTCTCTATCTCTCTCGCTCTTTCTCTTTCTCTCTCTCTCAAACACACACACACACACACACACACACACACACACTACACACACACACACACACACACACACACACACACACACACACACACACACACACACGCACGCACGCACGCACACACACACACACACGCACACGCACACGCACACACGTGCATCTTATCGATGGTAAATACTTGTTCAATTATGTTCAGTATTGGGCCTTACACACACAATATATATATATATATATATATATAGGCTATATGGATTGCTCCCCTATGTAGCTTTATGTTTATGTGTATATAATATACACTTACAAAAAAAACTGTCCTCAAATGTTTTAGTTCTGTCTTGTCGAAAATGATGTACACAATCCTACAGATAAAGACTGACTACCTGACTGTTGCCAAATTATTATTCTCATTTCGTAGTGAAAAGTATTCTAATGTGCATCATTCAAGTATAATTTTAAGGCAGGCAACTTTTACTTTCAAAATAATATGTACTTTTCCATTTTAAGATGATTACTTTATACTTCCCCGCTGGTTCTATATTTCAAGGGAATGATTGTACTTTTTACTCCACTATTTGTTTCACAGTTATGGCCAAATAAAAATATGATTTTGCATTAATTCATTTCCAACAGTTTGCAAAATATGATGCATTGTTATATTACAAACTGCCCCGCAGCATATTGACGTAGTTAAAATGGACTCCAACAGCAGCTATAACATTTAATGCTGTTTACATTTTAACACATCAGTAGCATGATCACTGACTTTTATTTTTGATACAAGTGGCCTACATTCAGGGCTGTTACTTATAGGCCCAACACCAACATTAGTATTAGTATTTTTAGACTGTGGTATGACCTTTTTACTCGAGTAAAGTATCTGAACAGGCTACTTGTTCCATCACTGAATGTGGATATTCAGACGAGTGAATATATTACACAAACCCCTTTTCTATATCATTCGTTTTGTATATTTAGTTAATATTTAAATAAGCGTGTTATTTTATAGGTATAATATTTAAAACAGTATCCTATCAAAAGAATGTAAATAAAGCCATCACAAAAGCCTATTTTAGCTTCTACAACCATAATGGTAGACTGTATTTACCTTTGAGAAAGAAAACTGTGAAATGTTGTACATTCAGTTGTTAGAAAAATGTCCGCAAACCCCTGATAAGATGTTCCCATTGTTTGTAACCTTTTATTGCAATATAAATTGTCATAATACATCACATCAAGGTACATTGTAATAAAGTTTTGAAAAATGACTATGCCTACGTCACTTCCGAGTTGAATCGGACAGTAGTACAAAAAAAATCTGGTTGCCATGAATTTCAGCTAGCTACCCAACGACATCTGTCAGTACAGTTGAGAAAAAACATCAATGTCAAGAGAAAGGAAGGATTTCCAAAACCTTTTACCGCTTCTGTGTACGAATAGGAGCACAGCAGCCTGCCTGCCTACTGTGAATCGGTAAGTAGCTAGCTTTGAGGCTAGCCTGGATAGCATGCTAGCTGCCGCCGCTAGCTGGTTACCCTGCTAACGATAGTTGATACTATTTATCTGTTAGTTAGCATTGACCTGTGTTGTTATTAGTGTGTAATAAAAGCAGTTATGTGTTGTCTTTTTGCATTTCCAGTTATATGTAATGCTTCGCTAAAACACTGCTCCCGTAATGTTCCCCCATCACTGGCTAACGTTAGAGGTTAATATCGTTGTTAACCATGTAGCTACCATTAGCATATCAGTCGCTCCCTGTATCTGTTTTGAGGGGGTGTTATAATTAGTCACCTGTGTCCACCATCACATTAGGGCATCTGAATCCCTGTAGTCCCACAATAAGATTTCAGCAACGTAAATATATGTATATATGCAGATCACTTCTGCACACATGAACGCTAGTTATTAACAGAAGCTGTACAATGATGACAATAACAACTGACTGTCCCTAACGAGCCGGTGATGCATTTGTGACTATACATTGTGATGTTGTTGCTTGATGTCTGTTGAGCCTTTTTTTGCTTGTTATTATTTCTTCTTATCAAGACCTTGCTGGCGCAGTGACTAGACCAGAAGACCTTGGCACCGTTGTGCCAGTTCATATCAAAACTCACGGATTTCTGAATCCAGGTACATATACAACAGGGTGTGTGTGAAGGGTTTCAACTAAGAAATTATTCTAAGATGCTTTTTAAAAAAAAAAATCTTACTTAAACTGACTTGACCTTCTAATAAATGATTGAAAAGCAAACATAGGATGTGATAAACCAATGAGCCACCTGCTGAGGTGACTACACATCATTTAAACATTTTCCTCATCTATACATATTTGGCCTTTGCTATCGATATAGTGCCACTGCTTGATTTCCCCTTAAAGTTAGAAAGATACATTTCACTGAAATGTTATTCTGACGATAGTGGACGGTTTGTCTTTTTACTCTCCATGTGTCATTTTGCTGCCACCTAATTACTCTGCCTACCATGTTCATTTTTTCCACCAGAAGATGAACGGTCTGTCCATTAGAGAACTATGCGGTCTGTTCTGCTGCCCCCCTTGCCCCAGCCGCATTGCAGCCAAACTAGCTTTCCTCCCTCCAGAGCCCACCTACGCCCTTCTCCCTGACCCAGATCCAAGTACTGGAGCTGCAACTGCTCCTGGGTCTGTTTCTGGGGCTACTCAGCCTTCTCTCGGAGCCCCAGGCCTGCGTTCCCGGGTGGGCACTGGTAGTGGAAGTGACAAAGGAGCCACTGCTGGACCTGCTGCTGCTGGACCTGCTGCTACTGGACCTGCTGCTGCTGGACCTGCTGCTGCTGCTGGAAGTGCGGCAGGTGCTGCAGGAGCAAGTGGTGCTGGAGGAGGGGTTGGCGGCAGTGGTTGGAGTGAGGGCAAGTGGAAGCTTCATCTCACAGAGAGAGCGGAGTTCCAGTATTCACAGAGAGAGCTGGATCTGACGGATGTATTCTTGACCAGATCTAGCCGAGGGAACAGGGTGGGCTGCATGTACATTCGCTGCGCCCCAAATGCCAGGTGAGACCCCTTCCTTGAGACTGAAGACTTAAAGATAACCCTGTATCTTTCTGGCCGTCTTTGTTTGAACAAATTACAAATATATTTTGCTCATAAAACATAATGTATTTCTATCAACTTGAGGTCCAGTTCAGCATTTTCCCTTCTTATCCTCAGCCAGCTGCTTCACTTTCTTCTTTTTTCTTCTTCCTTTTTCTCTTAGGTTTACAGTGTTGTTTTCCCATGGCAATGCAGTAGACCTGGGCCAGATGAGCAGCTTCTACATCGGCTTAGGCACACGCATCAACTGCAACATCTTTTCCTACGATTACTCAGGCTACGGTGTTAGCACTGGAAAGCCTTCTGAGAAGAACCTATATGCTGACATTGATGCTGCCTGGCACGCCCTGCGCTCCCGGTAAGCAACAGAAACCATTCCCATCTACACAGAACCCGAAATGAGCAGCCAACCAGCACCAGATGCCAGTTAAAGTGTCTTTGTTGGATAAAAACGCATGGGGAACTTGCATCTCTGGCCAGTTACTTTTTGTGAACTTTTGGTTGGCTGATTTATATACAAACTTTCTCCCTGCTGACCACAGTACCCTTACTCTGACTACCATCAACTCAAATCAAAGCAAAGTAATGGCTTTGTATCTATCAGGCTAATGATTGGCTGTTTCAAACTGTGCTCTGCATGAAGCCACTGCATCTGAAAGTTGGAGAATTATTCCTCTTGTTTATCTGCTGCCAGCATGGTTAATGAGCCTCATGTCAGCACACACATATTATTCCCACGAGGAATCACAGTAAAACTTTGAGGCCAATGACAAATTTAAAACTACAAACATTGGTGTTATAACTCAATTTGAATTTCCTCACTGAGTCCCTACTTACAGATTTGTGGAAGTGGGGTTGTGTGAGGTAGTTCCGCAGTCAGGGTATAGTATATGGTGATTGCCGCGGCCCAAGTTTGGAGAAGCAGATTGTAATCATGGTCCAGAAGTAAAGCAATATACTGCTATGGACGGGGTCAACATAATTAAGCAACATAAACAAAATCCATATCATTTTAAGTGTAAGCTAGTCTTAGAATATTTTTCCACTACTGTTTGACAGCCCTTTCCGACAGGGCCATCTTCATAATCACCAGACTCCTTCGCCAAAAACATTATTTTAAGCACAACATGGAAGTTGCTAATCTCTCGCTGCCTCCATTGGTTCATTTTTTGTGTTATTGTGGGACTATAATGTTTTTAAAGTTTAGTTTAGATCCACCGAAGTGACACAGTAAGACAATGTACCCAATCAATTCAGTGTTAGATAAGCAACTTCTGTGTTTTGTTGGGTCAAATTGCTGTTTTTTTTAATATATAACAGCTTCAGTATTCAGCAGAAAAGAGCTGTCTTACGGCAAGCTTAAGTGGCAAAAATATTCTTAATATAGAGTATGCTTTAACTAATATTGATTTTTTTTTAAATCTTTTAATACAATTGTCTGTTTATCCAAACAGCTATCCAACTGCTTTCTTCTACAGGAAACACACTCTGAAAGAGATACTGCACTCATCTGCATATGGAAATATTTACAGCACACACGAGTCCTTCATCTTGTTTATTGTTCTGTACTGAAATGTTTATGTGTGTCTGTGTTCTCTCAGCTATGGCATCAGCCCTGAGAATATCATCCTGTACGGACAGAGCATCGGCACGGTACCCACAGTGGACCTGGCGTCACGGTTTGAGTGTGCAGCTGTTGTCCTCCACTCCCCTCTTACCTCGGGCATGAGAGTGGCTTTCCCCGACACCAAGAAAACTTACTGCTTCGATGCCTTCCCTAAGTAAGTGTTTCCTTAAGGGCTGTTTTAAGTAGGAAACTCGGAAAGTTACAATGTATCGCTTTAAAAAGAAATATGAAAATGTGCATACACGTGTCTGATACGTATCTGGAGAAGGAGAAAGGTTGGGTATCGAGGAGATATATTGTGAGGCAATATAAATCCCTTTTGTTGTATCACTGAGGAAAATGTTGCATATCACTGAGTAGGTCTGCTTGACGGTAATAATAGGTTAACAAGACTTTGTTTATTTGGATCCCCATTTGGTTGCCTCGGCAACAGCTACTCTGGGTTTTTTACTTCAAATGTGACGAGGAACCTTGATTAGTCAGGCTTGATTAGCCAAAAACACATCTTCCCATTGGATATTTTATCTAGACAATTTTTTTTAAATAACATTTCTGGATAGTTTGATATATCAAGATGTATTTCTGTTTTTATACACATGAAAAGACAGATTTGAGCACTTAAGTAGACATGCCATCTATGTCATTGATGGTCAATACTGAAAAAATACCCCTTTTTCTCAAATGTATAATAATATAATATAATAATAACAATAATAATAGCCTCATTAATTTCTCCTGCAGCATAGAGAAAGTGTCAAAGATCCCGTCTCCAGTGCTCATCATCCACGGTACAGAAGACGAGGTGATCGACTTCTCTCACGGCTTGGCCCTGTTTGAGCGCTGCCCCAAGGCCGTGGAGCCCCTTTGGGTGGAGGGAGCCGGGCACAACGACATTGAGCTTTACAGTCAGTACCTGGAGAGGCTACGGCGCTTCATCAACCAGGACCTGGCTGCGCAACACGCCTGAAAAACAAGCGGCAGCCTCTCTGCGCTCGTGTGAATGAGATTGTGTGTGTGTGTGTGTGTGTGTGTGTGTGTGAACGTCGGCATGTTTGCAAAGTATGTGTGAGAAGTTGACCTAAAACGGTGTGTGATATTTTGTCACATCTGTGTGTCTTTGAAGCAGCACACCTTTAAGTTAATTTTCAACACAACATATGTTTAAATTATTTCCTGTTCGGGTGAAAACGCTTTTAAATATATCAGTAGCTAGGTGGTGAAACGCTAAAAACAAGAACCAAGATTGAACAAATTCACAAATCAGTTTTTTTATCTTGGGGGCATTTATGAATTACAGCTTTGAAAGGAGTCACTAACATGAATTAGGAAGTAACAACAATGTGCTTTGTCCAGAAAGGCACACAGATGTAATTTTTTATTATAACGTGTTACTGAATGAATGAGTCATGGATATAAGGGTTGAGTGTTTATTCATATCTCCATGGACATGTTTGTGTGTGTGTGCGTGTGTGTGTGTGTGTGAGAAGCAGTGCTGAAAGAAATGAAGGACATCCTGATGACTTGGACAGGTGGAGGAGGCTTATTGAGACTTATCAATTTGATGTTTTTTTTGTTGCGTGTGTGTATGAAGAATACCTCCACAGCTTGACCAGTTCTCTCTGCAGTGGACAAACACTGGTCAAGCATGTGCCCCCCCCTTCCCACCCCCCCACTTCCTGTTTACCTTTTTAATGGACATCCATGTGACTGCCAGGGCATTTCCCAAGTTGTTGTCCAGCTAACACTAACCTACTTCTATTTGTGTGGTTTGGGGGTCCATCTCCTTCCCTTTGGTGTCAGTTACGGAGAAACAAAAGGACTAGTCTGGAATACTGGCATGGCTTATATGGCTGTTGGGTTTCGCATACTTTCCTCTCCCTAATTTCTGACTGAAAAGATCCCAGAATGGCTTCCACTTTATTTCATGGCTGTGCTGTAGTTTTTGCCTTTACCTGTTCACAGAATTGCAGCAGAACCGTACAGGGAATTACTTCCTGTATTGATTTCCCCCCCATCAGGTCCTTCATATTTGTGATAGAGACGTCGGTGTGGTATAAATGGAAACGGGTCTTTTAGAGCCACATTGATAGCATCTCTGGAATTTTTAGAACACATATAGAAGTGAAGGATAATTTAGTCATTTCCATGTCCCATTTCGATGGTTTGGCTTTAAAAAGAAGGCTGTAGCCCTTCAGCATTTACTAATGTGTGACGTTTAAAGGTTGGACAGACAGCGCTGACTTGGTAACAGCAGGATGAATGTCAAGTATGAAGTTATAGTTAGATATTCTGTTTGTTGCTGAAATTAGATGAGAAGATTTATACCACTCGGCTTACTCGGACAAGAAATCGTCGTGCACATAACCTCGCATACAGCAACATTTCATTTTTGTTGTTGTGGATTACACTAACAAGATACAGCATGTTTATTTATTAATTTGTGAGGTGCTGGCAGGTGGATTTTGTTACATTTGTACAGTGCCAGGCTAGCTGTTTCATCCAGTTTCATGACTTTATGCTAAGCTAACGAGCTTTGACCTTAAGCGTACTTACATGACACATGAGTCGAATCAATCTTCTCCTCTAACCCTCGGCAATAGAGCAAATAAGTGTGTTTCCAGAATTGTTAACTCTACCGTTAAGTCTGAAGTGCCACTGTGGAGGTGTGTGGATAATTATAGTCTCTTTTGGTGACCGTACCCTTTTAGAGATTGATGTTCTGGCTAGATTTCTAACGGTTTAAGGAGATAAAAGTAGCTGCGGAGGTAACCAAACTAATGAGGATTAAGTGTGATTTATTCAGAATAATATTTTGCTCCACCAGAATCTCTTATGTGTGTTGCTGGTTAACTTGTAGTCTTACAGCACAGTTTTGTTTTCCATTTCTTGCTCCGGTAGCTCTCGTCACCAGGGTTAGTCCGCCTCCCGTTCATAATGCACATTTGTTTCTAACGTTTTTGTCTTGATGTAATTAATCCAAACTTGTTTGATGTAGTGTGGGGCCGTGGACGGTCTGTCTCAGAACCATGCATGTAGATTTTAGGACTAACGATGCGTTTAGGGTCAGGTGCCAGGACGGGACATCACGCCTACTAATAGCTCTGTGTAACCTCTGTGGCCCTAAATGTTCAGGAGCTCTCTTATGGGTGGCAGCACGCTTCATGTCTGACACAAGCCATAATTTGAGCCTCTCACTGTTGGTGTGGTGCAGGTTCCACCACACACACCTTTGCACATCATCAACACACACACACACACACACACACACACACACACACACACACACACACACACAGTTCATGTACTGTAGTATACAGTACATTTACACATTTATATCAGATCAAGCATGACAAAAGCAGGTCTTAAGTTCAGCACTATTGTACAAAGCATCCAAAGTGTAATAAGGGTATAAAATGTAAGTTTGTGTGTCTTCATTATTATTATTGACTGTCTTTTACAGGCCAGCATTAAGAATACTCGCATCATAACTAGTAAAAGACCCTGTGTTTAGACGGAAAAAAGTACTGGTCTGGTCCCAACGGTCGCAGGCTTGCGCCGCATTTTCAGATCTACACAAGGTGTCCGCTGCATAGGAGACGCATCAGTTTCAGTGGTAGTAGCTGCGGTTTTTTTAAGGGAACATGTACTGAACTAGCACTGATCTGATTACTCCATTGTGGGAGTACAAGTGGGTCTTAGTGAAGGCCACTCGCTTCCTGTCATCACTTCGAACAGGGAATCTTTTCATTCTCATCCTGTACTTTGTGTCTTCGATATTTAAATAATGGAAAACTGTTACCATCGTGGACAAGGGATCTGAGCTGTCAGAAGAAACTGAGAGTTATGGCCTCTCTCTGGAAGCAGAAGTAGGCATCAGTTTCTTTCCTGGACCGGACGTGTTATCAGGGAAACCACTGGATCCACCTTTCATTCATGGGGTTCAAGAAACGGGGCGGAGACTCGCCGTTTTATTGATGCACCACTATTATATATTGTATCCTCTGGCCCTGAATGTGTATTGATGGGGGTGGGGGGGTTGAACAGTGAAAACTGTATGCATGTCTATTGTGTTTTGCAGAGCAAGTGGGACGTTATCTCTATTATGTATTCTATGTGAGGTTAAAGCTGAACTCATGGCATTGGAACATTGAAGCGCTTTAAAAAAAAAACGGGACTTTTATTTGAATTTTTTTATTGCTGATACTAACTGATGTATTGTTATGAGTTTTGTGCTAGAGTTCAAGCAGGGCAGTGCTAGGGGGGAGGGTGGGGGGAGGGGCTAGACAATATTAGTGGGCTGTTTATATGGTTACTGTACTTACCTATTCTATTCTGTTTTATTATTTGTAATTTTATGTTGCTTTTTTGAACTGAGAATATGATGTAATGATATGAATTAATGGGACTGAATCTTGACCTTTTTATGGACAACAAAATAATAAAAAAGATCACTTATGTACAAAAACGTGAAACTGACTTTTGTTTTTAAAACAACCTTTTTTGTACAGTGCATACATTCACAAGTATGGACATCTGGTAGACACAATATACAAAATATTGCAATATTTGACACAGAAGTGAGATTGGGTTTAAAATCACAATATACTATAATCATTACTTACTAAAAACATCTCTTCACAGATGGAATAGATACATATATACACAGCTATAAAATACAGTTATTAAAATCCTGTATACACCCTCTTTGACAATATTGTATTTGAAATTTTATGGGAATAGTTCAAAATTATTTTCAGAATTAAACATTACACTTTGGATATTTTTTTCAAATCACACAATGTTAGAGCCCACCTCCTTTCCCTTATGTAACCAACTATTTCTCGAATCACATATTTTTAAACATCTGTCAACAGGACTGATATGGCAACAATTCCAGAGCAAAGTTTTTTATAAAAACTGTTCTTAAAAGAAATATCAGTGCCTGAATGTATAAGTGCAAGTGAAATCCTGCCTTGGTGCTTCACAGTGGAGTTTAATGGGAGTGACTGCCCTCTGCTGGCGGATTCTTGTCACTAACAGTCTTCATTCTGAAACATGTCACTAGATTCCAGTAGTGAATGTACACATTAGCCCGCGTTCACACCGAAGTACTTTTCCCCTTTAGTTCCGTTAGTACCCCTAATGTTGCGTTCACACCAAAAAGAGTACTGCCGGGAACTTTTACCCCCATTTGTAGTGCCTGGCTGCTAGAGAGGTGGTACTATCCTGGGGGGGAAAAGTACCCCAGTTCTGATTGGCTGGTAGAAGTTACTGAAGCCAGTCCCCAACTCCGGGGACTTACGGCCAGGGACTCCGGGTGGCAGTATACGCCGTGAAGTTGTTTGCGGCCTGCCAGTAAACCCAAAGCAGAAGAAGACGAAGTGACGTCGGCAGCTCATTTGCGTAACCTTCCCTCAGGGAAAAGTACTCCCGTGTGAACGCGATTGGTACTTAGTGCCCTGGGGTAATAAGTACCGGCACTAAGTACTGCAAAGTACACGGTGTGAAC